AATGCATTCTTACTCTATTGCTATTGCTTACTATTCTTACTATTGCTTGATAGTAACAGTAAAAACATCTTTTTCATATGATGAGGGTTTTGGATGAAGAGGCCTGAAGCCTATTTTACATGTTAGTCACGGGTGATTCATCTGCTGAGGAAGAGGAAGGCGTGCCTGAGAAGGAGATGGCTGCCCTGGGTCAGCCCGCAGTGTGGCCGCGTTCCCCCGGCTGGGGCGGCTGCCTCAGGAAGGACACAGGGCTGCCCTTCCAGCAGCTTCTGGCTCTTGGCCTTCCTGAGTCACAGGCGGTTTTGTGGGAGCCACCAGTAGGCTTTTGTGCCGTGACTTCTACTGATCCTTGCTTGAGTCTAGGTGTGCTTCCCTCTGTAGTGTCCTGGAAGGAAAAAAAAAAAAAAAAAAAAGCACCTTGCAGAAAGAAGTTACTTTTATGTAGTGTTTTTCTGAACTTGACTCAATTTGTGTAGGGTGTGGCAGTGAACAAACGCTTCCCATTCATTCTTCTGTTCCTCTCAAGATTTTATAGATCTCTGCTGACTGTTTTCCTGACTGAGGAATGCTGGCATGTTCAGAAGCTTCCCATATGGAAGGCATTTCATGGTTTTAGTCACCCTCACTGCTCTTGTTTTACCTTTTCCAAAATAGAAGCATAGCAAAACAACCCACCACAACAAAGCTGGACACCTCTTCCTGAATTTGTCATGGTACAGTTTATTCAACATGTGCAGGTTTTAATGTTATGCTTATTGCATAACCCTGGAGCAGTATGGTCTAACCATGATCTGTGGGGGACAGTAAAATACAGTTTGAAGTCATTTTTTTATTTCTTAAAGTGGGTGACTGATTTTCCCTGAGACCCCTTTTAGCACTTAGCCATATTCAGCTTTGTGTTTGCTGTATGGCAGAAATGCTTCAGCTTTTCTTTTGTTAAATTAAGCAATTCCCAGTTAAAAATAGAATTTCTTTGTATTTTGTTAGGATTGTGGTGTGTTTAATAAGGAGCAATTAAAAGATAAAAACATCCTGACTAGTGTTTGCTAATTGTTTGTTGTTACTTAGTTAATATACTTGTAAGGTTTGTCACTGTAGCCTGTGGAGGTGGTCAGTCCTCTGCATGCCCACTAACAGAACATTGCGAATCTAGAAATGGTGTCTCATCTTCTTATCATCAAGTATTTATGCTTGGATGATGATGAATAACCTAGTAGTGGTAGACCACAGAGTACCAAGTGATTACTGCAGAAAAAAGAAAAATAGATTTAGTATATGCGAGTGTGTGTTGCATAACACACGTCATTACATCCAACATTTTAGGAAATTAAGAGTAATAACTCGAAATAATGCGGCTGTTGAATAGTTTATGGTATGATAGTTTTTTTTGGCAATTACGTTTCTGAAAAGGGAGCGGAGGTTAGCATGCCTGTTCGTTACTCACAACTTTCCTAATGTCTGAATTGCTCATGTCAAAGATGTGTAAAAGCCCACTTCAGTGAAAAACAAAGTTAAATTTTAAGAAGTTCTATACTATAGAAGGAAATCTAGGCTGAATGAAGTATATATTCATGTCATACTTCACATAGGAAGATACTGTTGCAACATAGATAGCATCTTATCTTTCCAAATTAAGGACTAAGAAATAGCAAAACTGGAGATCTCTTGCGGATTGATGCCTCAACTCAATATTGTGAATTGTGTCAAGGCAGAAGAGCAAGCATCAGTGATGCTAGGATGAGCCACTGAACTTGTAGGCAGAATTTAAGCAGCCAAAGCAGTGCTGAAGACTTGATCTTCACCTATACCTCAGAAATGTAACAGTGAACATAAACAAACAACAGTGTCCCTTGCTAAACAAAAGCAAGCAGATGGCAAAAGAAGCCAGTGATACAGAATTAGCAGTCAGGCTGGTGTCTCAGAGCAGCATTTCTTTCCATCGCCTTCATCACACAGTAGCATTGAATTGCTTTAAAAGGTACAAGCAAAGCTAAAAGAACAAAGGTCTTTCTCAGTTTAAATCAGTGTTTTGTTACTTGCAGATAAAACCATAAATCACCTCAGAAGGAAATAAAGTTATGTCCTTCCTTCCTGATGTGCGCAAAGGAAAATAGGAAAATGCTCCTGAATTCTAGGATACTGAGTGCACGCAGATTGTAGATAGGAAAAAATAACCCTTTTCAAACCCAAATCAGATACAGGAGCTTGAGAAAGATGGAGAAGCGGCCCTGTTTTGCTAATTGGTTTCCTTAGAAATGAATTCCTTCCTCTTGGAGGGAAATTCTTGGTATTCCTTGACAGTTGCTTCAACATGAGTGACAAAATGTATAATGCTTCCAATTCCTTTCAAAGCATTGCTTTTATTCTGTAAATAAGTAGCTCTAGTAGTTGTTTGCTTAAAGAACAAAATCAGCGCAGTTTCAGTCGATTTTTTTTTAATTATTACCTGCACCACATTGCCTCAGTCTACCCTTCAGTTACTGATTTTGCTGCATTTGTGTCCTTTTACCTGTGACCAAATTAATAAAACTAAAACTTAATCCAAATGATGTAAAATGATGGTACCATCCAAAACTGTGGATATAAGCACTAGACAGTGTTTGAGATATATTATTATAAGTGCAGGCTCTTTTACTGTGTTTTATTTAACTTTTTTTTTATTTGTAATCTTTCAGTACTTTATATGATATGTGATCAGGGTATACAAAATGGAATTGTTCTCATTTAATGGGGTTGCAAGGTTTGTAATGCAGAGCCTTTCACAGAGATTTGTTTATAAGAGGATGAAAGCTTTCTGCCAACATGGGCAATTGGTTTGCTGACCGCTTGAGAGCAGACTGGTGGAAACGCATTATCTAAGGTGTAGGGAGATGAATGGTGGTCTGAGGATGCACTGTACCTCCTTTTCTCTATGTCCGTTTGTTTTGCTCACGTTGTACAACATGGAGACACCTGTTAGGAACAGAAGAGGAATGAGAAAGGCAAAATAAGGTAGAATTTATGGAAGCAGGAGCACATGGAAGTATGTTTGTTCTTTGCCTCATGAATGGCTCCCTTCTCGTGCTTCTGTTCTGTCCTAAACTTTACACCATTAGACATATTTATGTACCTTGGGTGGGTTTCTCTCCGTAACGTATTGTCTTGTATAACCACTGTATTTCATTAATAAATTAGTTCCAAGTGCTCTTTTTTAAATCTGGCCATTTACTGAAATAACAGAAGAATGTTATTTTCTGAAAGAAATATCAAGCAGATAAATTTGGTAAACATGCAACTTCCAGTAATGTCCTTTAAAGCAAAAGCACAATAGCAGCTGCTGTGCAGGCGGTGCATGTTGCCAGTGGAATTTATTTCTGATCAACTGTGTACTCTTCTACTCCAAATGCTCTTTCTTGAATAATCGCAGTGTGTAAAAAGAAAGAAAAAGTAGTGGTGGGCAATGGTGAGAAGAATGAAAAGGGGAGTATGGATAGACGTAAATACATTTTTTATTTGTGACCAAGGAAGTACTTGATTCTAAGTTTTAGGAGATTAAAAATTAACAAACTGCAAGGTTTTTTTCCAGTTGTGGTTATTTGAATGAGAAAGTAGTGTAAATTTGGTGGTTTTTTTTAGACAACTTAGATCTGAAGGATAAATTTGTATGCAAATTGTAGTAGCTCATGGTGTCACATATACTTCAAGATGTTTTGCAAGTATATAATTTTGCAATTATGTATTTTTATTCTGCATGAAGTTTGAGTATCAAAAATAACATAGGAGCAGTACCTGAGATGTTGGAGAAGGTTTTCTTGATTATTTGACAAACAAGTATGCTGCAACTCTGGATTCCATTTTTAAGTGTACCAAAAATACCAGACCAAGCTGCCCAGAGCCACATCCAGCCTGGCATTGAACGCCTCCAGGGATGGAGCATCCACAGCCTCCTTGGGCAACCTGTTCCAGTGTGTCACTTCCCTCTTTGTGAAAAACCTCCTCCTAATATCTCACCTAAACCTTCCCTGTCTCAGTTTAAAGCCATCCCCCTTGTCCAGTCACTATCCACCCTTGTAAGCAGGCATTCCCCCTCCTGTTTATACGCTCCCTTCAAGTACTGGAAGGCTGCAATGAGGTCTCCCCGAAGCCTTCTCTATAAACATAATAGGATATAAAATGCTTCAAATAACAACGTCCATTTTCCTATTTTTTTTAGAACTGTAGATGAAAGACACCTAGAAAACTACTTCTTGGTTGGTGTTAGTCTGGTTGTTGTTTTTGTGTTTTTTTTTCTCCTCCATTTAGCATGTGCACAAGAGTGCTGTATGTGCTCTTGAACTAAATTGGAAGATTAATTTTTCTCTTTCTTACTAATAGCAGTTTTTTGCATACTGTGTACTGACACAGTACACAGCTTTTTGTAGTCCCAACAGCAGCTACAGATAGGGAAAAGCGTGTTAAGTTGCCTGGTTTATTTTGGCATCATTAGAAAATGGCTTCTTAATAGGTATTAATGATATTTTTTCTCATTCAGCTAGCAGGAAAGAGATTTTAAATAACTCAATTTTCTCGGTGTCTTTTAAACAATATTTCTTCTCAGTCATGCTGAGAACATAGGTCTCAGATCACAGTTGCTTGTCAGTAATTCAAAATTCTGGTCTCTATCAGGAGCAAGCTGCCCAGGGAGGTGGTGGAGTCACCAGAAAAGGGTAAATGTGACACGGAGGGGCATGGTTTAGTGAACATATTGGTGATGGGTTGGTGGTTGGACCAACCTCTTATCTTAGCAGTCTTATCCAACCTTTATGATTCTTGTACTTTCTGTGTCTTGTTCTTGTGAATAAGTCCAAATTCACTGGAAACTTGCTTTTGTTGCAATCAGGTGCCCTCCTGGGACATCACAAGATGATGGTAAAGATACCAGTGAGGACATGAGATTTCCCAAGGTGTTTCCCCTCTCCTCTGGACAGCCAGGCTACCTGCTGACCAGACTCTTCACTGAGCATCTTCTCTTTCACCTTCAGGCCAGAGCCTCAGCAGAAAGCTCCCTCAGCACCTCCACCCCCACCGCCACCCCCACCTCCACCCCTGCCGGAGCCAACCCCGCCAGAGCCAGAGGAGGAGATCCTCGGGTCTGACGATGAGGAGCAGGAGGATCCCGCGGATTATTGCAAAGGTGGGTGCAGTCTGGGCTGCTGGGGTAATGGGCATCATGCACACTTTCAACCCGATTCTGAGGGAGGTTTTTAAGGACCTGGTCATTGTTTATGGAACTTACACAGAAGTTGTGAAAAACTGCTTGCATAACTGTCTTCAGCTCAACTTTTTCACTAGCCATAGCTTTTGCATGCATTTTGCAATTAAAAGATACGTAAGGTACTATATATCTGTTCTAGTTATAAGAATAAACTTTCCTTGATTGATATTGATTGTAAGAGAAACAAATATCCTAACTAAAATATGTTTGTATTACTCTAATACACTATGTATTCTAAAATACCTCAATGCATTTGACATCAACTAAATATGTATTTGAATCTATATCTTCTCTTTCTCATACGTGCACAAGTGTATGACACATGCTTCTTTTTGTACACTGTCTTTCATAGATCTCAGCATTGTTCGATGTTCTCTGCATTTTTATTTTAGTTTGTGATTTCTTTAGCTTTTGTAGTTACCTATGTCGTTATTAATACAGATTTTAATATAAGAGTAACAGGTGAATGCAGGTAGCTTTTTGCATAAAAACAGGACTGCAGTACAAGAGTTCAATATTTTAGTTTGGTTCAGTGTTACACCTAATGCTCCAAGTCTGTTCCCATTAGGATAAAGTATACAGTGTATTCAAGAATCATCATAGGTAAGAGATCTGTCAAAATTTACTTACTGCCTTGAATTAATTTTTTAGTAGAGCCAAAAGACACTGATGTACATTGACTTAATCTGTTATTCCATGTTCCTCAAATCAAGAAATATTTTCTATCAAATATGATGCTGTCTTAACTCTGAAAGTTCTCTGTAAGCCTGAAGATGTGCCATTTTAGGAATCCTTTCTCCCAGCTTGGAATAAGCTGTTCTGTATTTCCATATCAATAATTGGAAGTGACATTTTCTTCTCAGTGTGGGAAGTAATAGTAATATGTGATATTTCAAGTGTTGAAATGGGTTACAAATTTCAATAGTGAAAACCAAATGGTAAACTCAAGTTAGATTTTGAAGTCTGCAGCAAAGGAAAGAAAAACTCATAGGGAAAACATGTTTGTATTAAATTTTCTATTGCAACATGCTTATTCCTTATGATAATTCTTGGTACCTGTAACATCTTTCATCAGTAAGGATGGATGTGATGTTTAAACATCTGCATCTACTTGAGATTAAGCATTTCTAGGCCCTGCTTAATTCTTCCCTGAACTGCATTTAATTTCAAACAATCCATTATTGTCTGTGTTCCATTATCTTTTGCAAAATATCACCACCTGGAGTGGCTAGATCACAAAAAGAAGAAAGAAACAAATGAAATCTAAATGTATAGTTTGCTTGTAAGTCACCTGTTCTAGAGTCCCTGTGACTCCAGTCGGTTGTCAGGAAAGTGTATGTCATGTTAAGAATACTTGCAGGTTTCTTCAGAAGTTAAAGGGAGCTTCCATACACTGGAAGGTCATTCTGCATTCCTATAATCTTGAAGTTCTGAACTGATAGAAGTACATTTAAGGTGGTTCTCAAGCTCTGTCTCACTCTGATGTCATAATCATTTGTTTCTGTGAGAGCAGCATTTTTGCTGTTCCAGTGCGTGTTTCCTCTAGCTGTAACTTCCAGTAAAATTGATCAGAATGCTTCCTTTTTTAGATGTTGCTAAGGTTGAACTGTGGAAGGCCACCATGTTATGTAAGAATCTGAATGGAATAGCTGGATTAGGAAGGTCTGGAACCATATAGATTTTGTTTAATTTATCTGAGGACCAAATAAGTTATTTAGTAAAGAATTGCAGGGATGGCTTTTAGAAGTATTATTTCCAAATTTCTTTGAAAGATGTTTTATTCATTTGAGTATGTTTTACTGTCCTGGGTAATGTTTATGAAGTAAGAGATAAGTATTTGGAAACCATCATAGTTTACTGAAGTCTCTCTTTTCTTTCTAATTTGATTTCCCAAGTAGCAATCTCCCAGGATTTTTGAGTGAGACGCAGAGCATACTTCATCTATTCTCAACCCCAGTCTGAAATTTCGTAGGAGGGCAATTTTGTTGAGGGTTTATGTTAAATACATAGTACATATTTATAATATACAAATGTATACACATATATAGTGTGTACGTATATAAAGTAAACATTTTACCTGTTAACAAAAATATTCAAGTAGTGATTGCTATAGTTACTGATTCTTTTATATATATATATATATGTGTGTGTATATATGTATATATATATTTTTAAAAGAATATTTTACCATGAGCTGAGCTCCCATCTTCACCGCATTGCATGCTGATTAGTAAATAGTTCCCAGTCATAGTAGTATTTTTCATCAGGAAATTGGATTGGTTTATCACCTGATGTGAAAGCCTGTGTTCCCCTGGACCTTCCTCCAGAGCCTGTTAAAATTTCTGAAATGACTGCTATTGATGCCACTGAATTTAGATTAAATGCTTTTCAAATGTTTATTTGTTTTGAGAAATGGAAATATCAAAACTCCAACTCTGTGATTTTTCAAGGGGGTACTTAGTGCAGTCCTGACACACTTGGAGATTTTTTTGAAGAGTTTGTTATGTCATGGATGTAATTGGAATTCTTTGCTTCTCTGATCATCTTCTTTGCCCCCTGGAGATGTCTCCCATTCATCCAGTTCACAAAGAGAATAATTCCCTATACAAACATAGAACTAGCTAGCTACAATTACCAATACATTCAGGAGACATTTAGAAATAATGATCTCATTTTTTCTGACCCTCTTTCTTGAGTGCTTGTAGCTAGCTAGCTGTGTGAGACTTTTTTTGTGTGTGTGCTGTAGTGAATAGCACAACAGATTTTTTGTTACATTATCAGTAGTACCACTTACACATTGTATACTTTCAAATGCCAGTGTTGTTTTTACAAAAATACATCATTTCTCTCAAACTTCTAAATGCTTTCTGGTTGTTAGTATTTGGAGATAACTTCCATATCACGAAGAACTTAAGTAATTGCATTTGCCATAGGATTACACGGGTCTTTAAAATGCATTTAACTGTGTTGTTACCTGATTGTTTACAGCCTATGCACAAATAATATGTTGTTGACAGCATCAGGAGGGGTCAAGGAATAACACATACAGGAACAGTAAGGAATATTTCCAGAATTGCTCCTGTTGTGGCATAGGACGGTAGAAAATATCTTACGAATTTCATATATACTAATGAGTAAATATATGTTGTTGTATTGTTTCGATTAGTTATGTGTCTTGTAGTGGCCAAAATAGCCCAGCTTTAACATTCATAGTTATTATATTATCATCTTATAGCCATTATTCTTGCTATACATAGATTTTACTAAAATCACTCATCAACCCCTGGTTTATTGACTTGAAGTCAGTGTCTTTGATTTCTTCTGGAGCGCGATCTCTCTTGTCTGTGCTGGGAAAAAACTACCACAAGTTCTCAGTTTTGACCCTTTGAAGCACAACTGTGCCAAAGGATATCTTCAGAGAAGCAGACTTAAACAGCACTTTTTAAACAAAACTGTTCATAGAAACATATATTTAAGTCTGTCTAAATTCTTCATTGTTGAGTGTTAATGCTGTTACTTAGTCAAAATGTAAATAGTTTAAAAATTACTTGTAGCCTTTGTTTTATGTGCTTAAAGGCCTGCTCATACCTTTCTTGCTATGCAAAGGGCTGCGTAAATGATGTTGTTTTCCCATGGTCATCCGAAATTCGGGAAGAAAAAAAAACCTCTCCTAACTCCAGTGTGTTGCTGGAAATCTGAGATTCTTGTATTCCTCACAGCATGTACCAGATTTGATAAATCAAGCACACGGTCCTGGAGTTCTACGTTTAAATAGTTGAAGCATATGTATGTGATGCATTGGCATACATATTCATTCTTGTCCAGGAACTCACTAATATATGCTAATGTTCAATGGTCATACGACCACCTGCTTCCTCCCCTTTATTTCTCCTTCGGCTTCATCACAGTGACTTTTAGCTGACCTTAAGCTGTTTTTCCTCATTTGGCAAATTTCCATTGCTTGTTATGCCATAATAAGCAATTTTGTATCTTGGTGCAGTGTAACTCCAAACAGTTTATGTGGAATTCAAGAACAAGCCCTTGCACCTGGTGGATGCAAAGATAAAAGTACTCAGTTGTGAGTTCAGTGCTTCTCTGAAGCCAGATCATTGAGAAAAAAAGGGCTGTTCATATACCAATCAAAGCTCAACTGGGAAGTTTTAGAACTAGCTCTTATTGATGCCTTTTACCAAACTAATATATGCGTCCTTAAATGAATTTATTGATTCCTATTGCTCAACCAACCTGTATCACCATGTTGTCCTGAGCAGATATAATTATGTTCAGAAATGATTGAATAGAGCCATACGTTTAAGCAGATTGTAAAACACGTCAGAAATTTTTGTATTGTTTAATTTAAAATCTGTGTTGCAAACCGTAGACAGGTGTTAAAACTAAGTGTTGTGTACTTTTATGCAGAGGATAAAGCTTCATGCTTTGTCTCTGTTTTCTTGCAGTGTTATATGCAGGACAAAAATCAGAAGAAATGATGCTATGGTACTGAACCGTGTGTGAAAGATTTTTACATAATCCTTGCTGTCAGATCAGCAGACTTGATGTGTTTAACTGATGTAAACCTTTTCAGTAATAGAAAGGTAGAATAATGTACTTGCTCTCTTAACTTTCCTCTCACATCTATTACTTGATCATCCTGAGTTTTATGGAAAGAATTTATCAAAGAATACTTTTTGTTTGTTTGTTTGTATTAAACCAGTTGGTAACTGTTTTAATATAATCATATTCATCCGGATTTTGAAATATTTTTATCCTCAGCTGTTTCAGCAAGGATGGCCAAGCAGAAATTTAAATCATTAGTTTTGTTTTGTTTTTAATGTTATTTCATATCAGCAATATATTATCCAAGCTTTAGAATTCTGTGAAACATGTAATCTTTATAATTTTGTCGTGTAATTGTATTAAATTTATTAGTTTGCTCTGGAAGGCTTTGTGACAAGCTCACCAATAAACTCCTGACCTTCTGTCAAGGCAAAAGATGCTACTAGCAAAGAAAGGATATAAATATTTTTAGATTTGATGCCGCTGTTCTGCAGATAAGAAAGAGATAAGAGCCCACTCCCTGTACTAAATCCAAGGAATTAAGTAATAAATTGACATCGTTGTTTGAGCTGGGCTCCGGTTCTGACAAGGTTTTCGGGAGATCTCAAAACAAATACAACGACTTAGGGGAAGCAGTCTTTTCCTAATTTGAAGTGGAATAATCAGTAGTGAAGGGTTCTGCCAAAGGTCAGTTGAGTGTGACATTCTGAAAGACCAGAAGGAGCCAAAGAGATAATTCCTTGATGCTTGGCAGATGGGCAACTCTTGGAGAGTTGTAGCTGTATTATTTTTAGCAATTTAGTTAAAATTGTGAACATTTATTAGTGTGTTAGGTCCAAATAATAATCTTGTGTGATCAGCTTCTTTTCCTAAGCTTAAGAATGCCTCTTAAAATAGGAAGGATATGAAAAAGCTTCACAATGGAGCTGTGGACATCACCTCTACCTCTTACAGCCACTTCACACTGTGTTGAAACCTGAGTTCCAGCTGTAGGGTTGGCCTTTCTGACAGTGGGACTTGGGGCACCAGTTGGGACTTTGGCGATGTGGTTGTGCAGATGGCCTGCAGATGGGTTAAAATGCGGTCTTGGGCGAAGTCTGCAGCTCGCTGCCCCCTCTGCTTCATCACTATCAAAGCCTCAGACTTGAGAAAATGCACTGCTGCTGTGGTTCAGGATCCAAGCAGAAGAACAACACTAAATTTGACATTGTTCTTAATATTTTCTGGTGAGGTATTTTATTGCCGCCTTTTTTAGTAGAAAGCAAATGGGAATTAAAAGAGTCTCTGTTGAGTTTTTGCAGTCATCCAAGTATATGTTGGCTGAAGAATATTCAAATATGATAAAGAAATAACGTAGATCTTTCTTGTATGCTCTGTGAAGTAGAAGATAAGCCTGGGGAAATACAGAACAGATGGTAATGTTTCCACAAATAAAAGCCATAAAGGAGAAGGACCAATAAACTCTATAGTATGTACAGGGCACAAGTATTTTCCCTCCAGGCCAACTAAAGCAGAGTTTTTAACATTAGAGTTAATGTTTCTTTTTTCCTATATATAGCACAGGACAATTTGAAAAGGAAAAGTTATACTACGAGGAAAAAATTATTCTGCAAGATTTAAATGAAAAACTGAGTGGTACTGTTTGTTTCCTGACTCATCTTCTTCTGCTTTTTTTTCATGAAAGGTGGCTATCATCCAGTGAAAATTGGCGATCTCTTCAATGGCAGGTATCATGTTATTAGAAAGCTAGGATGGGGACACTTCTCTACAGTCTGGCTATGCTGGGATATGCAGTAAGTGAACGACTTATTTCCATGCACTTGATTTTTTTAAATTTAATTTTATTTTTTTTTTGGCACATGATAAACTAATGTAGATGTATGCAGTCTTTTTCTGCAGGAAGGTGTCTGTATTAAAATTTTGCTCTTGGTTAAGGCTGTAACTTATAAAACTTCTCAGAAATGTGTAACTATTCTATTTGACAGATTAGCTTTGCCTATTGAGTTTACATGTTGTCTTGAACATGTAAGAGTAAGATAATATTTTTGTTTCTGTTGCATCTTTAATGAAAAAATATAATTACTGTGATGCCTCTTAAATACGTTAGCTTCAAAGAGATAAAATATTTAATAAGACAGACAGTTAACAAAATGTTATTAGAAGTTGCTTTTCCATGTAGTTTCAGTTTTGTAGTATTGTAGCAGAATATGTTAGGTAATGAAATATTGTATTTAAAATTTCCAAACTTCAAAATGTCTCTTTTAGCTTTGAGCACTTGTTGAAAATATTTTGGTTTTGTTTTTTCTAGGGGAAAAAGATTTGTTGCAATGAAAGTTGTAAAAAGTGCCCAGCATTACACAGAGACAGCCTTGGATGAAATAAAGTTACTCAAATGTGTACGTATCACTCATGTAGGATGGTGTTCAATACCAGCCATAATACCAGTAATAACAAATAAAATTAAAAAATCTAGTGGGATGTATTGTTTAAACTTTTTTTTGCTAAGCAGCTTATTTGTTATGTTACTGTGACTTCTATAGCTCCAAAATATTAACATCGGGCAGAAAGCAAATTCCTTGGTGTTGTCATGTCAGTCATTCCCTGAAATGTCTGCCTTTGTGCTCTTGGTTTAGGTTCGTGAAAGCGACCCTAATGATCCCAACAAAGATATGGTTGTACAACTAATCGATGACTTCAAAATTTCTGGAATGAATGGAATACGTATCCTTTTGAAAACATTGCATCTTCAGTAATAGTGATCTGTGGAGATAAGTAAGCTCTTCATTCTGGCTATTTTTAGGTAGTCTTAATTTAAAACAGTAGTGCAGAAACATCAACGTAAGTGTAGATGGAAGAAGCAGTCCAATATGTGACACACTCACTGGGGTCAAATAGCTCAGATTTTTAAAATACAGTGCAAAATAAAAATTAATAAAAGACATTAATCCTGTCACAGTCTATTAGAACTACAAAGGTAAGATTGTTTAGAAACAGCAGTTTTACTGAAAAGATTAGTAATAGGTGAGGCTTACAGTATGCATGTTCTGCTCTAGACTAGTAAGGAGAAAGAAAGTGTTAGTGTCGTGAGGAAGCTTGTTTCTGTTTTCTTTGGTGACGTGTGAGGGTGTGGAAAAAGTTTTCTTATTATGGTTGTTTGTTTTTTGTTTTTTTTTTTTGGCTACATGACATTGTGAGTTTTTTGGCCAAGCTTTTAAAGATTTGTATTCTAATGCTGTGAGAGAGGGAGAGGGGGATGGAGAAAGAGGTGCGATATGTGACAGAGCGTTGTTCTCAGGGAAAAGTTGGGGCCTATGAATATATTTTTATACTTGACCCTAAAGTGAGTTATCCTTGCTAATTGTATTTTAGCAGCTTATTATGTTACTATTCTTTCATTGACGTAAATACAATTGGTATTTATTTGTATGCTTGTTGTGTCTTGGAGAACTAACAACTGTCCTCATTGTTCATACTACTCAACCAAGAGAGCTCCTGCTCTACTGAGCTCAAGATTTTGGTGATGTGCCGTCAGTCTTCAGAAGATTAGTTTAAGATATTCCTCACCGTCTCTGGTCCTCCAGGGGAGGAATCTAGGAGATGACTGCCAGTGAATTTGAAAGCATCCTCCCAGGAAGAAATGTTTGGTTTTTGTTCCACCCATCTGTCTGTTGACATTAGTTATGAAGCCTTAGAGTATGTAATAAGAAAGAAGGGAGAGTATGGGAACATGTATTCTCATTTGCAGAGTAGGATCCTAACCGTTTTCTCTCATTTTATTTGGTGCCTGGTTGCTTCATTGGTTAGCTATCATGCTAGAAAGCTGCTTCAGTGTCAGTGAAGCCAATGTAATCTGCTTTTTTTGTAGGTTTTATCAAATTACCATGAATTAAAATAAACTATACAGTTGCTTGCAGTCATTTCAACTTGTTTAGAAATGATTTATGGCCAAGGAACTTGTTAATACAATGGGGCAAAGAACCCTAATTGGGGTTTCTCAGTGTTGTTGAACTACAAAAATATCTTTGAGCTGAAATGCTTCCTGAGAAGTACTATATAAATATCTCTATTGTCTGTGTTCGTTCACTAAAAAAATAATGTCATCAGAGCACTTCAGCTCTGAAGACAACTGTTCTGGTGAAAACTAATTGAAGTTATTTTTAGAAATCAGAGATTTTAACTTGCTGTTTTCATTGTAAAACAGTAATATGAAGTGGGGAATAAGAAAATGTTTTTATACCTATGCGTAGAAATAATTTTTATTGGTTTAATGGAGTCGTTTCTTGGTAACATTCTTAAATTATTGGTGAGATACACATGTGTTAAAGGTAAAAGCCATTTCTGAAGAAGATTATGAAGAGTAAACTTTGTTACTAATAGTATTTTGAAAACGTATCCAACTATAGCATTTATGTTGACAAAGCCAAAGGAAACTCTTCTGGTGAAAAATAACAACTCAGGTAGCTTTGCATCAGCAGATTAAAATTGGACATCTGATAGTGATTTATTCTATTTCAGTTTTACCTTCATGCTGAAAATTCTGGCAGTTCAGAAGTTGGTTTATATCGAAAGCAAATGTTTTAATTACTGGGAGAGAAACGTATAATAGTCACCAGTGCAAATGTGATAGCAAGTATCTTCCGTTATGAGTTGTCTCCTGAGCAATTTGTGCATTCTGAGTAGCGTGACTTATTTGATCAAAATTTGGCTCTGTTGGTTATTTGATTAAGTCCTTCTGGTCTTGTAGGGGAAAAAAAATCTTTGGTGCAGGTTCTTTTAGAAGGGAGCAGGTAACTTTTTAGCATCTTGCTGCTACTGGATTTCATTAATTAAAAAAAAAAAAAGGCTATTTTAGTGCTATGTTAGTGTTATGGGATGATCAGGCTGAGAGACAGACAATATTTCATGCTGTGTTATTTCTGGTGTCCCTTGGGAAAATCACTAAATATCTGTTCTGTGACTGTTCTTTGACTGTTGATTACGGAATACCTTCAAAAGTCAAAGAAAGACAGGGGAGAGGTGGGTGAATCCTTCAGGTGGCCAACGCCACAAAATGTAATGGAGATTCCAAGCAGGGAAGCTTGTAAAGAACGCTGAGGCACAGGGCTGTGAATATGCAGAGCCATTGGCCTGGGCTGTGTGTCTGGAAATAATCACCCTTCTCCTAGGAGCTGTAAGACCTACTTACAAACATGTGGATTTTAACAACGTATGCTGTGCTACGCTGACTGATAATTTTTGTTAGCTACTTGTGCGGTTTAAAAATACTACAGTTATATGTATTTTATTCAGGAAATAACAATTTCTGAACGTGGGCACTGTAATTTTTTCAGTAAGTGTAGATCATTAATTTTATTTACACTGGATATTTATTAGAATCTTAATAAATGATTGAACATTTTTTAATCAGAGGTTCTGATAATCACACAATGAAACAAGTGTTTGGATAGACAAATGAGAAAGTAAAGAAGGAAATGATCATGTGTTACAATAATTCTGTGATTCTGTAATTGTAATAAATTTGCCTTTAAAGAATAAACAGCACAAATTAAATGCCGTAGGGCCTTAATGCTGCTTACACAAAAGTATCTGAGATACACTCAGAAGTGCTCTGTGTTGGTACCAGCATTTTGTCATTTGTTTTAACTAGTCTGTAAGCCTCATCAGATTTCTAAATAGTCCTCTAGTATTTTTGTAGATCAATAGATAGTTGCATGTAAGACTTTAGTCAAGAAATAAGTTGTAAGTACTTAAAGCTGTCAGCTGATACATGTTATGTTTGTTCTCTCTTGTTTTCCCTATCTGCTAAGTTTCCCTCGTTCAAGCCTTCCCCAGACTTTGCTTCAAAGGACATTTCATAAGGGATGTGTGTACGGTGTGGGCTTTGTGTTTCTTTTTTCTGGAGGACTGTGTGGACACACTCATATATCAGGCACTTGATGTCGTGGGATGATCCCAGAGCTCACGAGGCTGGATTCCTGATAATTAGTGCACAGCTTTCCTCACTGTTTGTGGGCACACTGGCTCACGGTTAAGGTTCTTCAGGTCATAACAATGAATCAGGCAACAGTCACATTTACATGTCTATAATAAACCTTGAGTCTTCAGTGTGTCTTTCTGCCATCCCACTTTCCTCCCCGGCACTGGGCATGCCTTGGGTTTATCAGAGTCCTCATGGCAAAATGCTGCAATCTCTCTCAGGTAGAAGTCACTCCTCCTGTAGCTCTCCCTCTCTTTGCTTGACTCTGCCATTCCTCCTTGCATCTTATTTCTCTGTATCCTGTCCTTCCTTGCCTCTCAGCTCTTCAATTCCCAGTATCCCTTCCTATTCTGTTTAATGACAAGGCTTAGCACTCTAATACGTGCATGGAATGGCACGAATCTGCACTGGAGAGTCTGCTGCAGCAGTAGTCTGAAGGGTGGTGAGCAGGTGTCCTAAATTTCATTTCTTAATGCTGCAGTGTCTTGCCTTCCTGGAATAAGTGTTGCTGTCTTCCTGTAACTTCACAACTTCATTGTGTGGGCTAAATTGATAAGTCGTGTAGAGCTAACGTGCCGTGTTCCTCCTCTCTGATGACCATGTGCTGCTCTAGTGACTTTTGTTTGTTGGGTGCTTGTATGGTAAACAAGGCTGTTTCTTCTTCTGAATTGAACAGAGTTTTATAATATTTTGAGTAGGCTGTTCACGGTCTCTCCTAGTATTGGAGTTAAGGAGCATCAACTAAGTTGAGCAGGTAGCAGCTATCAGAATAGTACAGTTATTCTCAAAGTGCTTTGACCAGTCTTGAGACATCATTCAGTCTAATTCTAGTTTAAGGATGTAGATTACAAAACTTCACATGGCTTTATTCATATGGGTAGGTGCTTGAGAAGAATGTAAATGGTAGACCATAGACAAGGTATGCATCATTTTTACTTGGGACAGTGACACTAAGATCATCATCAGGATGCTAGGTATTAAAACCCTTGCTCTCTTCCATACACTTCACTGATGGTCTGCTATTGGAAAGATCCTGAGTCAAATTAAACTTTCTGGCATTGTTGTTTTTGCATGTTGCTTTTTCTTTTGTTCCTGAGTCTTTGCTGATTGCCATTATTCTTTGCAGTTAAAACTCTATGAAGTAAGGGATCCATTCTCTTACTACTTCAGTCTTTATTTTCAAGTGTTTCTCAATTGAACCTAATCAGAAAGATGTTTAGAATAGTTCTTTTTCTAAAACACTGCAGCTGTAGTCTGCTGTTGTTAAAACACTCTATTTTAAAAAATTTATTAGAAATTAGAGATGATAGAACAAATCAGTACTTTGAACTATTTCAGAGAAAACGAAAATGGATTACTTATTTTGTGACTTAATTACTCACCCTAACACTGCTTTTACCTTTAGAAATTAAGGGCAAGAATACATTTAAAATGTATTTAAAACATTTAAAATGTTTTATTTTAAATTGGTCTGTTAGGGCATGGTTCTTTTTTCCTGTTTATATATTATTGAAATGTAGTAATTGTGTTTTGATCAGTTAGGGGAGAACTATGATTACATGATGATGATTGCTTTAGCCAACAAGCAAACAAACGTTTGTGGTTCATCTTATTAACAAGTTTGTTTGGAAATTGTCCTTAATTAAGCCCCAGATGTTTGTATGGTCTTTGAGGTACTTGGACACCATCTCCTAAAATGGATAATCAAGTCCAATTATCAAGGCCTTCCCATCCGTTGTGTTAAAAGTATAATTCGACAGGTAAGATTTGCTAATATTTTAATTAACTTTTTCCACCATTGTTAACATTCTGAAGGCTAGAATGGTGACATTTCAGCTTAGTTCTTATTAATTATTATCTAAGATAAGATAATTTTATTGTTAAACCCAGGGAGCTGGGGGGTTTGTAGGAACCTCTTATTGAGTAGCCTGGGTTTCTGCATACTGTATTATTTTTATCAAGATATCCCACTGATAAGGGAGTTTTCAGTACTGTTTTGGTTAAAAAGCTGAAACAATGGGTCTTATCCATAGATTTTTTGTATTCAATTGCAGTTTTGGTCAACAAAACCATCAGCATGATATGCTCCTTAATAAGCTTATCTGTCTCTGAAAAAAAACCTGATTCTGAAGGAAAAAACTGTTCTTTAAAAATTATTACTTATTTATTTTTAAGTTCTTGTTGAGTCAGAGACCTAACCAGATGAAACCAGGACAACTTATAGGGAAATGTTCTTTCAAAATATGTTCTCTTGCTGTATTGTGGAAACCAAATTGCTGAGAGGTAAAGAGAAGTATTGTCTCAACATGAAAAAATCATGAAAAAAAATCTGTGATTCTGTATACATACTAATCTACAAGCAGTTAATACTTTGCCAATACATAAATATTTTCAGATTGCCATTTAAGTAATTTGTATTGTCTTTCAGCAACATTACTTCTGTTGTAGTAATAACCTGTCTATTGAAATAGTTGTTTGCTTTGAAATCTTTATTGTATGTCATCTGATGAATCTCAGCCTATCAGCTTTTTAATCAGAATTACTGAATGCTCTGATGCAGCTGTTAGTAAGTAGTTGAAATTGCAGGTCCACTAATTTCTGTGCAGCCAGGTGGCTCACGTACCCAAAATAAGAAGCTGTACTGATGCAGTGCTCCAGCTGCACAGAGCTGTGTGCTGTGGAGCAGGAATGTGTCTGTTTGTGTTGGTATGTGTCTATAAATATCCACGGTTTCCCGTAAGCATTGTCATTTTTTTGTTTGGAATGTTCTCACTATGTTGCACCATTGTCCTGGAGGCTGGCCAAAGGATGGGAATTTACAGTGTGCTTTCTTTATACACTGCCTTTAGCAACAAACCAGTTTTTGGAGCTCCCTGCTATGATTTATGTGCATTACAATGGCTGTTTGCAGAATCAGAGCGTAAACCAGACCACTGAATGGATCCAAGCTAAAAACAATCTCTTTTTGGATGGAAGCTGGAAACTTCCGAACACAGCTTCACATGGTCTTGCCTGTAACCTTGCAAAGGAGAATTTTGAAGTGTGGCATTCAGGGATGGTAACCAAAACCCAGTGAGAAGTGGGGTTAGCAAGGAGCTGCCTTAGGAATGGAATTATATGGGAAGCACAATGGAGAGGTTTTGAAGAACATGTTCTCCTTCCAGATGCAATCAGAAAACCGGTGCCACGCGTGTTCTAAAAGTTTATTTGTAAAACTTGAATATGAAACAGTTCAGTTATTGCAGTGGTGCTCAGCAAAATAAACCATTTTGTTTCAAAAAATATTATAGCTGAATGCTATAATGAAAAAGAATTTTTTTATATTACGATTGGGAATTTTTTTCCCACTTCTTTAGTATCTTTGAGCATTGGGGCGAATTTAAGGGTTAGTTTAAAATGCAGCTGAGAGCTGAGTTTCTTAATAAGAACCTCATACTCATTTCAATTTTAAGCAGTACTTCTTCCCTTGGGGCAGAGCTATATGAAATGTCATGCAAGAGATGCCTCTGTAGAATTGAAAAAAGGGTTGGTTGCCACAGTTTCTTTTGTGTAATGAAGGTAGAAGTTAGAAGTGTGCATTTACTTAATTCTAGAATCCTCATTTTGAGTTCTGAAATACATAGCATCAGTCTGTTTTAAAGGAATCATCTTCTGAAACTATTTACTAAAGCCAGCATTGTGTTACTGAAGCAATGAACATTTTCACTTTTGCTTTTCACCTGCGGTACAACAAGTAGTCTGTTTAATGTGTCAGTGTGATGTAGCTCCCTGAATGCAAAAGGAAGAAAAGAAAAGGGGTTCTTAATTAGATACTGCAAACGATGATGGTATTTCTTGATGTGAAACTAACCATGTGACTTTTACAAGGGAGGAAATACAGTTTTGTAATTTGCATTTGCAATAACAAGCCCTATTCTGATTTTTCAGAGTTGCAATACACGATGCATGTAATTTTATTTTCAGTGGAGAAATAAATAAAAAGGAGAATTGTTTTCCCCGTTGTCCATCATCTCAGACTATGATGCAAAAAAGTACATGCAGCGTGCATTTAATTACTGGTATGGTGGTATAGTATACTTGCAGGTTTTAGGATAAAGCAACCTGATCTATGTTTTAGGATTGCTAAGAGCACCATTTCTCATTATAAAATCCTAGTGGTCCTTGTGGTAAGTCAGTGTGCTCCAGAATTTTTTATGTTGGCCTCAGTTTACACATGTTTAATTGTTATTGTCATCTATAGTGATGGAAGGAAGAGGTTACTGAGATCAATCTTTGTGTTCCTATTGCTAAGGGGGTCTTTTCTAGATTTTCCAGCCTCTCACTAATAGCCAGTCTTCCTTTCAGATTTCTCAGTTTGTGATACACTGTATGTTATTTTGATTGACTTGGCACATACTCAAGTGTATGTTGGATTTGCAAGAAAAATCCAGATTATAAAGAACACAGCAGTTTTTAGATGCACCATTCATGCTGATTTTGAGCCTTACTCAAGTGAACACGCAGCTTTTACGTGCTCATGATAGAAGGCTTTTCAGAAGGTTGCTCTCTGGGGCTAGCTCCAGAAGAGGAGAAGGCAGAGCAAAGCACTTGAGATATTTCTAGGGTGCATTACCCTCAGTGTAAACATCAAACACATGCAACTGCTGTTCTCTTATCTGAGCTCCCAGGCATGCAGGATGAACGTGCCAGTCTGGTACTAGCTCAGTACTGAGTGGTGGGCTGATGTCTTTGTATTCTGTTACTGCTATTTAGAACCAAGATCTTTGTTTTTAAGGCTCACCCTTGCCAGTTATGTTTTCAAGGATCATCAGAGCACGGAAGTTAGCCATGTGCTAGTTTACTTATAACATACCTAGAATGGCACTGTTCCTGTAGTTGAAGCTCAGGAGTCTGGTGGTCTATTTCTTGCTGTAGAACGTTCTATAAGAATTGAAAGAAATCTTTTAAGTGAGGTCACCTAGGTTTCGATTTCTTTGTTTTTCTTGCTGATGTATTTTTTACAGTATTTATGAAGCTTACTGTAGCAATAGTTTGTTTTTTACCCTCTTTCATTACCCTGTACTAATTAATTGAGGTAATTGACATTCCACAGTTTATACCTAAGTCTCACCTAACATACTTCTAAAACCACACCAGCTGTTGTATTTCTGTGCTAGTCAGAATCAGAGAAAGCTTTGTCATCACGATTTTATTTTAGTCCCAGAAGACATTTTCAAGAATTTGGATATGCAAGTTTTATATGAGCTTGCAAAATTCAGTCTACAAAGAATATGAAGGACTAGAGGAAAAATACAAGTAACAAATACAGATAGACAGTTCTGTGTGTGACATCTTGGTCATGTTAAAAGCTGAATTACTGTTGCAGTTGTAAGAAAAATTACAGTTAGCATTTCACCTGCTGTTTCCCTTATTGCCTTCTTTTCCAAAGGAAGATCTGTCGAGTTTTTTTACACGTGTGCAAACCAGTTGAAGAATGGTTGGGAATTGGAAGTCTGAGATCAGGTTGCTGTCATTGAAACAGTTCAGCCTGCCAGTGTCTAACTTGTCAATGTCTGTAGAACTGGGTTTATGAGCTAAGTATACTAGGCCACATATGGATGGTAGGCAATAGGTTGAACTTCATTTTCTATGCTAATAAACACATTTAGCTTGTTCTGGCTTACAGGAAACAAAAATAAAATTCCTTTTTCAATTAGGTTCTTCAAGGTCTAGATTATCTACACAGCAAGTGCAAGATCATTCATACGGATATTAAGCCAGAAAACATTCTGATGTGTGTGGACGATGCCTACGTTCGTAGAATGGCTGCTGAAGCTACTGAATGGCAGAAAGCTGGAGCTCCTCCTCCTTCTGGCTCAGCAGGTATGACAGTGTGTTTAAATGCAATGTAGTAAATTACTGTAAATTAATCTGTAAATTAATGCTAGCAATGTTTTATTTAATGCATATGAATACTTTAAATCACAGAGTCACAGAATGACCAGGGTTGGAAGGGACCTCAAGGATCACGAATCTCCAACCCCCCTGCCACATGCAGGGCCACCAACCTCCACATTTAATACTAGACCAGGCTGCCCAGCCTGGTCTAGTAAATCGCATGTAAAAGAAAAGTATGTCCACTGAACTCTTATTCATATTCTGGAGAGTTAAAAAGGAATTTTTTCTTCTCAGTTTTTCATGTTCAGGTTTTTGGAGTGCCTGCAGATTTATTGGAACACAGTCCCACCCTGCAAGCTGCAATGACTTGCATCTTTAATACTGGCAGTAATTAATAGTCACATCTAACTTTTGTGTCTGGTTCTATTACAGTATCATCAGTGTTCCTTTGAAATTATCTGTCTTTTCACCAGTTGTAACTTATTCTCAAGATGTAGCGACAATTCTTGCAGGCCATAGCTTTTCATTCTTGCAAACAGCAATTATTGTACTTGAATGAATACACAATAAGCCCTTCTTCCCAGCACTGCACGTGAAATATTTTGTTAAGTTTGTTAAGCTTGCCAAGATCTTAGATGGGAACTGCACGTTTTACGTTTAGGTAGGAGGAACCAAAGGGAAGGAGCTTACAGCTACCAGTGAAGACATGCCAGAAGGAAATACGGCTTTTTGAGAGATTTTTTTGTGCATGGTCACTGTTTTATTTTGTAGTCCAACAAATCAGCTACAGGCAGTGGAGAGACAAAGCATTTAAAGCTTTTGTAATGTTACCAGAAAAAATATATTATGGTTTAAATTTATAGAGATATAGTACAAATACCTACTATATCAGGAGCAATCGTTGTGGCCTAAATCATAGATATTTCCATGGTGGAACATTCTTTCCAGACTCTGCATTTCCTAAAGCTCTTTCTTTTCAACATCATTTTTTGGACTCGGTCTATGAGTTTTTTTTTTTTGTGCTAACAATGTTTGTGGTGTTTTACAGTATTATTTATGTTGACATGCAAAATCTTATAAATTGTTAGTATATTGTGTTGAATTTTACATAATGGGGAATCATACTGCTAAAGGCTGTATGTTGCCTGTGTGGGAAGCAGACTTGACATTGCTTCCTGACATTAAAATAAACATTATGGAAAGTATTGATGGAATTCTTATCACTCTTTGTTCTTGGCAATTTGCAGTTAAATATGTGGCATTCCACACAGGGACTGAAGATGTGTTTTTGTTACAGCATTTTAAGAATTGGTTCTGCATACTTGCATTTTTTAGAGGTGATGATAGTCAGATTTAAGAACCTTTGAGACAGCACTGCCCTTTCAGGGACACAAATGCAGTTTTCTGCACCTGTGGTGGTGGTGATGGTGATGGTGTTCCTGTGTGGCACTTTGTTGTTGTTACTGTTCTGTGCATTTTCACAGTGACTTGTAATTGCAGCAATCATTGATGGTGTCTGTCTGGGCCATGCGTAGGAAGGGGTGCATGCTGGAGATGCTTTCCCTGGTGTAGTGCTTTTTGCCATAGGCAATTCTTCATGCCTGCAGTCCTAGCAGAGTACTCTGCTTCAAAAGGAAGGAAGTGTGAATATCTGACTTTTCTGCTCAGTCCAACACAACAGTCATCTGCGTTGATACTGCCTGAACTATTTAAAATCTGCCTGCATCTGATCAGTCAGCTGACTGCATGCATTTCATCTGTGACATCTCTGAAGTCAGTTAAAGTTTTCTGTCTACTCATGGCTGTTTTGGAGTCCTCTATCTGAATTTGATCAACTCTCCACTAGCCACAACAGAGAGAACAGAAATTAATGATAAATCCTTCTAATTCCAGATAGTCTAATGGAGACTCTGTATGATTTCAGACAGGAGGCATTTGTAAAGAGTTAAAATGCTGGTTGAAAATAAGATTTTAAATCATTGCTTTATCACTTGTAGTTATTCTTGAAAAAAGGTATATTGACTTTTTTTTTTTTCTTTGCAGTGAGTACAGCTCCACAGCAAAAGCCTGTAAGTATTGTTATATAATTCAGATCAACTATCTTACTTCCTGTGTTCGTAGGGGTATTTGTAATTATTAGACTGTTAGTAGTATTAATACTTTTTTAAAGCTCCCTTTGAATGACATTTTTATGTTTCAAAGAACATTTTTCTTTCAGTGTCTTTGGCCTGACCAGTTTTAAACACCAGTTTTAATGCAAATTCTAAGAAAATTTCTGATGGAAATTCTCTTAGAAATACTGTAGCTATATCAAAGAAAGTTAAGCATGGCCATTGTAATCTCTCATGGAATTATCCGTTCATTTTTATCCTGATGAGAATGCATGCATGCACCAAATGTCATGCATTGCAGACAGCTGCAGAAGTTCAGTGCCTTAATCAGCAAGGTCTGAAAAGGTAGGTTTTTTTCATGAGGTCTTAAATATCTTTTTGCCATTTGCTAGTAGAAGAACCTCTGATAGCAGAGCTGTTTAGTAGTTGAACCTACTAAGGCTGAACCTACTTTCTGCATTCAGAATCTGTATATAGTTTAAGTAAGCATACAACATGCATGGAAGTTAGAATTAACTGTCTGGTTTTGATTGTCATGTAACTTGTTTTGAAGGTGATGGCATTTATGGACAAACCTTTGAGAAAAGAATGTTTCTCATTGTTTATTGCACTTCATTTTTGAACTGTTTGAAGATATTTATTATGGTATTATTGTGGTATCTGTACAATGAATGAAGATTGGATTAAGCTAATTTATCTACTAGTAAAATTAGAAGTCAGAATTCAATTAAAATATAATAAATTGTTTCAGCCTTAGCAAGAATCTGGGTTTTTTTGTTTTTTTGTTTTTTGTTTTTTTTTTTCCTTTGTTGTTAGACCTGGATTCTGGATTTTTTAATCCTTATGTTATATAAAATGCAAAATGTTTAATGATCACCATCTGTTCTTTGTGAATCATATGTTTTGGACCAAAAATAATAAAACTGCTTTCTTTTCACAGGGAAATAACTGAACAGCAAAGGACTTATTTCAAATTCTTTAGTATTTTCAGTATTTTTGAATTTCTTATGCAATTTTTCTCAGCATATTTTTGATGAGCCTTACCTGCATTGTACAGAGAGAGAAATGGTGTATATAGTCTATATGCAGAAAATAGGTATGATAGCAGAACATCTTCCACATGCAATAGTATCGTCTGCTGATCTAGATTAAAATTACTGTTCTGGTTTAGGTTATAGGAATTTTATAGTGTCATCTCGGTTGTATTTTGTTCTTGGGTCTAATACACAGCAATGCAAAAGCATATATGAGCATCTAAGATTTTATAGTTTTGTTTGATACGCATAACCTGAGGTTGTACTTCATTTGAAGTAAAGTAGAATCAACAGTCTATTTACTATATAAATTACTACCCAGTACTTCCAAATAAAAAGGGGCCATACTGCATGCTTTTGGTGTAAGATGCCTTGAGGAGAATTGTTCAGGGTTTTGTTTGGTTTGTTTTTATTACTGTTTCAGGTTGGGAAAATATCCAAAAACAAAAAGAAAAAAATGAAGAAAAAACAGAAGAGGCAAGCAGAGCTGTTAGAAAAACGCCTGCAGGAAATAGAAGAACTGGAGCGAGAAGCCGAAAGGAAAAAAATAGAAGAAAATGTAACCTCAGCTGTACCATCAAATGAACAAGAAGATGAGTACCACCCAGAGGTGAAACTAAAAACAGCTGATCTCGAAGAGGTCGTAGATGAAGAAACTGGAAATGATGATGGTTAGTGTCATCTGCTTTTATTGACCTTGAACCTACTGTTTCAGAAGGGAAAGTAGTTGCAGCTTACTCACAACATTTTGTGTTAAAATTCTTTTTTAACTTAGGTGGTTCGGAGCATAGTTGTTAAGGTCTAACTCCTTTCTTGTTTCTGTTGCTTTCTTATAAACTATCTCAGTTTTGATGGAATTTTTATGTGTGTGTTTTTGTTCTACTCAAGCTATAAATATTCCTATCTCTATGGTGAATCCCTGTTTGACACTGACTGAGTTAAGGATTTGTAGTTCTTGCTTTCAAAACTGTTTATAGATTTCATGCATAGCATTCTTATCTTGCATTGTTTCCTCAGTTACACTATCCTGAACCACTTTCTGTTGCTATTTTTTTTTCTTCCAGCAACCCTGTTAGTTCCCTTTCTTGCCTTAACTTAGATTTTAAAGTCTCTGAATGTTCCTTCTGCACTGTGTTGGAAGTCAAGTATTTACTGAAGAGTTCATTTGTGAATGTTTGGTTTTGAGATGGTATGTTGATGTATGATCTAATATGTTGGTCGTTAAAATTTTTAGGTGAAACAGAAGATCAGGATGAAAAAGAAGACACAGAGAAAGAAAACACTGAAAAAGATGATGATGTTGAGCAGGAACTTGTCAGCAATGACCCTACAGACCCTAAGTGGATAGAATCACCTAAAACAAATGGCCATATTGTGAATGGCCCATTTCTATTGGAACAACAGATCGAAGATGAAGATGACGAAGAGGAAGAATGTCCAAATGCAGAAGAATATAATCTTGATGAGCCAAATGCAAAAAGTGATTACTCTTATAGCAGCTCTTATGAACAGTTTAATGGTGAATTGCCAAATGGACGTCATAAAATTCCTGAGTCACAGTTCTCTGAATTTTCAGCTTCAGTGTTCTCTGGGGCTCTAGAGTCTGTAGCTTGTGGTTCTGCTGTTTCTGAAGGATCAACTGTAACAGAAAGAGAGGAAAGCAGCCCATCTCATGACAGGAGCAGAACGGTTTCAGCTTCAAGCACTGGGGATTTGCCAAAAAGTAAGTATTACTCTTGCTGGCATGTGCCATCCATGCCTGAAGTCTCTCAGAGTTGTAGGTGATGCCTTACTGTAGAATGAGTGCTGGAATTAAACCTTATGTATGTTTTATCTTTGTTCAGTGACGTTTGTATGCAAATGCCATGGTTTTTTTCACTTGAAAATTCAGTTCCAAGTCTTTTGAGTAGGCTGTCACATACATTTTTCAGTAGCATTTTGGTAATAGAGGAGGATTCTATTGCACCATTTCCTTTACTTTGAGAAGTAGAACTAGAATTCTGTGATGTTGCCTTTACTTCACTTTTAGCTGAAGTTTTAAATATTTTCACTTTCTGAGTGCCAAACCTGCTTATGTTCTGGCCTGCTCCCTGCTTGACTATGAAGGGTGCCTACTGTAAAAATGGTGCCCACGTGCCAGCCTCTAAAGACTGCTCCTCTGCAGTGTGCAGATTGCTCCCAAATCCTTGCTTTCCTGGGCGCTGCCCAGACTTGGGCATAAAATGGGATATGAGGTCAGATTAGTCATAGTAGGAGAGGGTCACAGCTGCAACTCACTACTGAGAACCATTTTTTTCATTGCTCACTGATTTAATCTTCTTGGCTTTGCCTGCAGTGAACATTTTACTCATTGACTATTACATCATCTGAATGCAAAATCTCAGTCATGATTATTTAAAATTTGCTATCTTTGAAGAGTTATGGAAAAAAAGCAAAGCTGATGTCTAGAAATGAACAGGAGACTTTTCAGTTACTTTGGTCCCAAAACGTTCTGGTTAACTTTGACCTCGTATAACCAGGTTTCAAGGAGAAGCACATGTGTTCGTTTTTAATGACTGTACAAAATGTAAGATAAAGAATTGTTTGAATTGATGCGAGTCTTTTGCGAGTACCATGGTCATTGATTACATTAAAAAAAATAAAAGGAGAGAGGATCAAATGAGTAGAATAGAATAGGTTATGTTAAGAGACAATTGTAATAATGTCCTTAAAGGCAGTCAAAGCATGCTTTAAGTAAATTGGATGCCTCTTCATGCATTCCAGCGTAAGAGTTTGATCAATGCAGCTTGGAACACAAAACAAAAGCTACCTTGTTCTGTTAAAATAAATCTACCATCTTAAACTTTAAGAGGAAAGTAAAACTGTGGTTTTTTATGCTTTAGAACTTGTTTTAAAGTGTATTAAATAAGTTACTGTTGTAAAATATTTGCATTAACAGGTCATCTACACAGGAAAGAGAGAAAGAAGGTGATATATGAAAGTACGCTTTATTCACATACACTTAAGGCCAGAGGTGTTGTGAGATTGTTTAACCTGGCTTCCTTTTAACGTCAGGATTTTTGCCATTGAATTAAATAGCTCCCATAGGTTTTATTTATGGTGTCATTGGCTAAAGTATAAATGCATGAGTTTCAGCTTCAATAGGGAAAATATTGAAAGACTAAATCTGTAAGCAAACAGAAGAAAATGAGATGGTTCAAGAGAAAATCAGAGAGCCTGCATGAATGTCGTCCTGGATGAAGTTACTGGACTTAAACACAGCTGTATTGAAAAATATAGTAGAGTGTATTTCCTCATTTTTAGAGCTTTGAAGAGTGTTTCACACAGTTTATTATAGAATCTATAGAAGGTAATCTGCAAATAGACAAGAAATATGCAATAAAATACAATTGAGTAGAGCGGAATTTCTGCAAGATGTCAAGATTCAAGCTAATAAGTCTTCCAGTCCATCTTCTTATATTCTGTTCTCCCGTAAACAGTGGCTTCTTAATGCTTTGTAGCCTCTTAGAATCATATATCCATAGAATATCCCAAGGGAAGGGTCCTGCAGGGATTATGGAGTCCAGCTCCTGGCTCCACACAGCACCGCCCAAAATTCAAACCCTATGTTTGTCTGAGAGCAGTGCCCAAACGCTCCTTGAACTCCAGCAGCTCAGCGCTGTGCCCACAGCCCGTTAAGCTAAATTAGAATGAAGAAAGGTATGTCAGTTGCAGGCCATTCAGTATTCAAGTGGTGCTGCTTTTTCCATTATATCTTTAGTGCTCTTTTCGTGTATGGATGCAGACTTCATTTGCTTGTCTCCATATAGCCATTGCTGTACATTCTTATGTAATATGGTCTCACTAGTGTACTGGCTGATCTGCATTCAGTGGGCGAGCAACTACTTTCTGTCAAATTTTTACCTTTATTTAATTCTTTCTCAGGTGCATACTGTGTGTGACCAAACGCTCCTAGGGACAGATTTATTAATTTCATCATGACTTTCCTCCTCATTCTAGTGTTTGAATGTTTACTAAGTATATTGTCATGGTGTGACTGTGAGAAGAGGAGGTGTTATTTCTCAGTTTTACAGAACTAGGGCACTTAGAAGTGAAAATTAGAAATGCTCACTAAGTTTGCCCTCAGGTTTAGTACCATAGGATGCTTTTTAAGAGTACTTGCTAAGAAGTACAGCTTTTTTGACTTCACAGTCAGTTGTGAATTATCAGTATTTGTCAAAATCAGAATCCGAGGTGTCTCATTCATCTCTCAGAAAATACAGGACATAAACTCGCTGAGTTCATGAGAAGAACACAAGGATGTAGGCACTTGCCTGTTAACCTTTGGCTGTTCCCTGTGTTAATGGGAGGTTGCAAAATCCTTTCTAATGTTATTTTCAGATGCCTTACTAATAGGCCTTTTTTTCCCTCTTCATTCTCCTGCTTTATTTACTGCAGTCCTTCAGCTTCAACAAGATGTATGGGAAGGATTTATTTCAGCAATAGCAAGGCTACTGAACTGACTCTTGTTATTTTATGAATAAAGCATGGGTTTGTGTTTCAAAAAATTAGACCGTGCTATGCTGCTTGGTCTTAAGGGAAGACTTTAAGTAGTTCCTGTCTTTTCAGGGCTGGAGTGCAGCTTTAATGCTCTCTCACTGTGTTTTACTTTTATGCTCTGTTTTGGTGCTTTTTTTAAACTCGAGTCTTGCGCTCAACTGCAGCTCTTTTAGAGGACTGTTTTGTTGAGGTCACTGCCTGTTGTATCTTCTGCCATTTAGTGTTTTCTTTTCTTCCCTGGTAAGCTCTGCCATTTTCTTTTCCAGATGGCCATTATTTAGTGATTGCCCATTTGCACTTGCTGTCCCAGTGGTTCAAGATCTGAATCTCATTTCAGTCATTCCTAACTCATACCGCTAGACTTCTTCTCTTTTTCCTCCTTGTCTCATATGTAATGCATTTTCTTCTTCTAATTTACTTATGCAAGTTTAACTGATCATTATATCCCCATTGGATTCCCAGATGCCTTTCAGATCTGGCATCTCTTTCGTGTCTCACCATCAGTTTCTGGTTGAGCTTTTGTAGCTTTGAGATGAAGAAAGTGATGGTTCCTCTGCTTTGTCTTACTTGTGATACTTGCTTCTTTCTTCTTCATTTAAGACAACCTGCTTTCTTTCCCACACGCATTAGGAGTCAGCAGGTGGTGTGTAAAAATACAAAAAAAAAAAAAAAAAGAAGCAGGAGTCCTCAAGCATTGTATGTTGCAATCTGCAGTGTGCCGGGAGAATATAAGGATTGCTGGATTGATTGGATCGCAGTTTTGCAATTTTACTTTGAATCACGTTCAGTGCAAATAGATCCTTCAGAGAACTTTGATTCAAAGTTGAATTATCTGTGAAATGGTAACAGTCTCCCAGGCTCTGAAATCAACCACGTTTTGATCACTCCTTTTCCAGCAGGGCAGATCGAAAAACAACAACAGCAGCAGCCAAACTTCATGTACCTTAACCAAGAATGGAAGAGACGGATTCGTTTTCTCAACAAAACTGTTCAAAGAATTTCTTTCATATGGAGTTTGAGTTTTAGCATTTTTTGTCATAGAACATGCTTTATTTTTTACTTAGCCACTCTGCCACATATTCTAATAATAGGTATATGGCAGTTTGTTAACAATGTGCTTGGTATTTGTGAGGATGTTTAGAAATCAAGGTAAGAAATCTGTTTATGTTGCTTTAATTTCTCCTAATGTTCAACAAAGTCGCTTATGGAGAATGAGTAGCATGTTCTGAATGCTCTTCTGCTTTTTGTTTGTGTTAGCAAAAACTCGTGCTGCTGACTTACTGGTGAATCCACTGGACCCAAGAAATGCAGATAAAATTAGAGTTAAAATTGCTGACCTGGGAAATGCCTGCTGGGTGGTAAGTGTAACTCCATCAATTCGACTCTAGTCTTCACTATTTAGAAGAGGCCTCTTTCTTGCTCATTTTTGCCATTAATGTGATTCTTTCTGTTTTAGCATAAGCACTTCACAGAAGACATCCAGACAAGACAATATAGATCCATAGAGGTTTTAATAGGAGCAGGTTACAGTACACCTGCTGATATCTGGAGTACAGCATGTATGGTAAGAACTATACAATATGTATACAATAAGTATTTTTCAAGAACAAAATCCTGAAAATAGTCATTTTCTGAGGGAAGGAATCTGATGAGGATGGTTCTGATATTTTGACACAAATGTAATACTAGAAATTATAAACTATCAGAAAGCATCTGATCATTGATCTCTTTTATTTCAGTATTTTAAGCACCTTTAATCAACAGGAAGTATTTTGGAGAAATGTTCTAGTTTTCATTTCAGGCATTTTAAACTGGCAGTTAAAAATATGTAAGCTTGAAGGGAAAGACGGGTATATTTTAAATGTCAAAATCTAATTGAAATTGTATGACTGCATATTTTGTCCCAGTCTTAGACTATGCAATCCTGCCCTGTTTCCTTTTCCTTGCATAAAGTAATGAAAGCCTGAAATACTTCAAATTTTGCCAACTTAAGTGAAAGCATTCAACAGGTTAGGTTTGCAGATCACAGCTTTAGACTACTCTTGAAGGGAAGGAATTTATTCTATTGGAAAAAATATGTGGAAATGTTCTGTTCAATCTGTTTTAACATGGTAAAACTGAAGTGATGTATTTTTTAAAAGCTTCAGAGTGTAGGAAGAATGAAAGCCTAATTGTTGCACCTTCTGAAATGTTGATTCTGTTTGCAGTCTCACTTTCAGGACAAGTAAGCTGCATGCATTTTCTCATTAAAGACAGATTTGGAAGTACATTTAGAAGTACCTTTGTCTATTTAAAAAGTGAAAACTTATTCAAGTCATTATATTTTACAAATACATGTCTGAAAAGAGTAAGTGTGTGATGAGGAGAACACTTAAATACTAGACACAGTTTGCAGGCGTGGGTGATGAAAAGAATTGCAGAACTCAGAGAGGAGGAGGACTGAAAGGAACATAAAATCCTACAGATGTTATAAGCTCAGCAAGCCATGTGTTGGAAGTAACTAACTATAAGTAAATCTGCAAGTATGTATTCTCTGGAGTTCAGTACTAGTTTTTGTTTTAGCAGATGGAGAAGAGCATCCATTTCTAAATTTACTCTTCCGTTTTGAGGCAAAATGCAGAATTTTGCTGTTACATTGAAAACAAAGCATAGAAGGTCTTCCCCAGTTTTGATCCTGAATTCTTTATTTATTCTTCCCAAAATTAACTGTAAGAGTACTATAGAAACTTTTCATTCCTTACATCTGATATTTTGCTAAGTTCTGTTCTACTCGATATCTTGTTACATTATTGAATGCTCTGTATTACTGTACAGTCCTAAAGGTTGCCCTGGTTCATCCTACATCCTGCTAATGATACTTGGTGGGAGTTGTAAAATACTTTCTTGTTCCTTTTAAATAGAGAAAATGGCTTCTGAAGGGTGGGATCTGTGACACGATATATGAGTTCTTATACTGCAAGATCTTTTACCTGATTTTAAGTATTTGTAGCAACCAGATGGGTTTTGAAAACACTGTATGGTATAAGGGGAGATGAAGAACGTGCAAGGAAATATTGGGCTCATCCTACCCCTTCCATTTGCATTCACTTTCATGTTACATAAGCTCTTTTGCTTTCTTCATGCAAATCCTTTTTAAGCTCAAGAAAATGAACCCAGAACCTAAAGAATCCCTCCCACTGATGGTGTCTTAATTCAGATTCATAATTATTAATGAAATTTCATTATTTTCATGGGAAAAAAATAATTCTGCTTTTTTTTTTATATATATAAGGCTTAAATATAGTAAAGCATTTGAGACAGAAATCATGGAGTTCTATTTGTCTTTGGCTACGGATGTATTTTTGCCCTTAAAAACAGTAGAAATACTGAAATCTTACATCACTGGCATACAACTGTTGAACGCAGTTGTCTTCACTGTACAAGTGCAGTCGTGTAAAAGATAGAGATCACCTCAAAAATTCATAGTTTAGAAACTCCTCAGGATCTGCTTTCATTCCTGTGTGGTTAGGAAATGGGTCACGGCAGTGTAAGTGCTCATCCTGTAGCAGAGGAAGCACCATGGGAGGTCGGTATTAACTGTGCAGACCTTAATAGTCTTTCTGCAGAGAGTTTTTGACAGATTAAAAGCCAGAGGAACACGGCTGGTGTGGAAATGCAAACTCTTGATTATCTAGGCCATTTTTGGAAGTCGTGATTTGATTCTCTCCAGTCCTTAAAGCATCCAAGAACTGAGGTTCTGAAGCGCTGTGATGCCATGACAGTCTCACTTGCTTCCTCAGGTTTGGATTCTTTGTTGTAGTTGGGTGTGATTCAGAAAACATCCTTCTAGGTTTCTTTGCTCGTTTCCATATTTATGCCAGTTTATCCTGCAGTGTTTACACCTATGTTTTCAAAGGGGACTGTCTGCTGAAGCTGGAGGCGTTGTTTATTTTGCTCTGACTGACTGAAAATACAGCTCAGGTATTCTGTGAGCTGTGCTAAGACAGTTTCAGTGGAGAGGAAGGTGATTCTCCACCTCCTTGAATTCTTGCTTTGCATATATGACAGGTCCAGTGTTATTAAGAACAGTTTTGATGTCTGTCCTCTGTAAAATGAGTGATTCAGCAGTATTGCTGTTATTTTATTCTCTGCAAGCATCCATCCTATTTTACTTCATATGTATACATATATATATAAAAAATATGAAATATGATATCACTGAGCACACATAATGTCTGCCAACTCACCCCTGTGCTAACTGCATTTAGTATTTTCCCTTAATTGCTTTAAAGAAGGGAGGAGGGGCGGGTTGCTAAGGGCTAGCAGTATGTTAACAAGAGACTGCAAATTTGAGCTTGTATTCAGGATAATTCCTCTAATAATACCTCCCTGTCAGAATAGTATTGAATGCTTGTCTGGAAGGGGTGACATTTTGGCTTTGCACTGGGAGGTGTGATACAATTACAGATCCTGTCCTTCATTCTCATAGTGGTTTTGATATTGAATAAGCTTTCTTGTCTCAATTTATCTATTGAATGCTAACACACACCTTGCAGAAGTGTGTTCCTAATATGCGTGTATGAAGTAAGGTGAACGCAAAGTAAGACAGTATTTGAGCAAAGATGAGACATTAGGCTTTTAAAACAGTTGTTCAAAACTCTGAATCGTTGTTCTCTGAGCCTGAACAGAAAGTTGAAAATATTTTTGTCTCACAAGGACAGAATTGCATGGTAATGTGTCTGATAGATGTTTGCGTATCCAGGACCCTCAAATCAGAGATTTCTGACCATTGTCCTCACAGAGACCGATCCAGGTGAGCTCCTCACTCCTGTGTCTGCGTAGCTCTTTTTGACAGAAGACTTCCTGCTTCAAAGCCATGGGCAGGTTGTTCAAATTCCACAGCATGGCTACCAAACCCTCGTGGAAGGGCTGCTTCCCGAGCGGTCAGAGCAGTGCACCAGTACAACTCGTGCATGAAGACTGCTTGCCTTGCAGAATAGAAGGGGATTTGCCATCTGCTATGTATTCATTAGCGTGTTGGATACTCTGTTGAAAACACCTCGAGCTTTTCCTCTTGGTTTGTAGATTTTGTGAAGGATATCTGAAGTGCATCGGGACCAGGCTTCACGTGGTGTCTTAACTTGATTTTGTGCTTTATGCTTTATTTCAGCCTGAGGTCTTTCCTTACCTTTTGCTTGTTAATGAAACAACCCCTTTCATTGGGAATAGCATTGATTATGCGAGTAGAACTACTGGCTTCTGTGTTGACTTGTACCTAAGGCACAAAGAATTATTGTCAAACACAGAGGTGTACCACAGACTCTGCAGCAAACTCTGTTTTTTCTAATGCCATCTGTTGAGTGGTTTTATTTGCTCTTTAGTAACAAGCATGAAGATGATGATGATGTTTTTAACAAAAGCCTCAAATTACGGTGCCCTGAGCATGCAAAGGATCTGTGTTTATGTGTGCACAGCTTCTTTCACAATGCCCCCCTTAATCTGGCTGTTAGGACATGGTACGTTGTGTCTGCATGGAGTGCTGTCCTTGGCTGAGCTCTGCTCATATGGGTTGGCTTCACTGAGCCACCAACTCCATGATTTTGGTGCAGCATCCTAAGAGAGAGCGGAATTGTAGCATTTGTGTTATTATCTTTAGTGTGAATATGGTCAGAGATTGTCATCGGGATTAATTGTGCTGGAAGTCTACATAAGAAGAATCATGTAAGGACTCTACCTACCTGAATACCTTATGATGTAACTGATGCAAGGTAAGAGAAGGAGAAATAACTCAGCACTAAAAACCCTGTAGTTCCCTTTCTTTTGGTGTTATGTCAGTGAATAAGCACCGCTGTGAGCCTGCAGCCTGTGGGCTGAATCTTCTAAATTTAGATGATTCACCGCGGCCCAGTTCTTGTACCCCAAACAAGAAAAGTACATTTTGAAACCTGATTTAGGGAAGGAAGGAAGGTATTCTCAGGCCAGCACCAGTCCTCTGCTCAGCTAATATGAATTTTAGAGCCCTAAGAAAAGAAAAAGGGAAAAGTGCAGGATGATGAGCAGCTTTGGAGGCTTAGAATCACTGCATGCGTGATGTGCTGTGGAGCTAATGGAGTTAGGTGCCAGTGGGGTTTTCAGGGCTGTGGCAGACAAGTTGGTTACTTATTCTCTGCTCAGCAAAAAATGATACAAAATGTAACTGAATTTTTTTCCACTTTGATGGACTGGGCCTGAATGATTGTTACAGCCATGTGCTGGACATCAGCACATTTTGCAAAGGAAATTGCACGGTGCCCTTCTTTCACCAGCACGGCCTACTTACATGGGATGCAGAACTGCTTTCATCCAAAGTGAGACGCTGGGAATCTCTCCTCACAGTATATTCTGCAAAATCCTGCGTCCCCTCGCTGTATTAAATCCTATTTTAATTATGCCAACAAGGAAGAAGTACATTTCTCGTTTTCATCCCCAAAAAAGGATGAGGTCTGGAGCCAGGAGTGCCTTTGGCTGAATTGAAACTGCCCCTGGATCAGGCTGAATTTCTGCATTTGCTTTATTGAGAGGGTCACTTTCTGCAGAGCATAAACT